TTGTATTTGAAACATAATAAAATGAAGATTAAAATATGTTAATAACGCAAAAAAATAACGGACCACCATGAATAACTTTTGATCGAATGATCGAATCTTTATAGTCTAGGACTCAATCTTAATGGTTGAGGGGTGATCTCAAATATGCTAATTTATTAGAGAAGACGATATTTTAAGTTACAAGTTCAGACGCAAAAACGTACTTTCTCTGAGTAAACATTTCTTTTTTACGAAGTATTCTGATTACTGACTCAGAACACGAAGGATTACTGACGGGAAAAAAAACCTAGTTTTATAAAATTCGATTTCTCAGGAACTATTCAACCGAATTCACTCAAAATTTGCATTTTGCCATGTAAAATCACATTCTCTAACCATGTAAAATCTCTAACCATGTAAATCATGTAAAATGCCATGTAAAATCACATCTTCACCAAACCAACCTCCAATATTTCGGGGGTCAATAATCCGACGAAAAAAGATATGTCTATTCAGAAAAAATTTGTGTCGGATTTCGTAATTTGAACCATCTTCCACACTAACTAATTAGCATATTTGAGGTCACCCCCCCCCCAAACCACTAAGATTGAGTCCCAGAACGTGAAGATCTGATCATCAGATTAGAAGTTATTTAGGATGGTATGTTAAGTTTCTCACAATCATTGCAAAATTGCTTAAAAAGTCCTTTTTTACAGGATTTTACTGTGTTGTTTCTCCTTTAGAATACGAAAGAAATATCTTCTACTCAAATCCGTCTTTAAAATGGTACCATACAATTTAGTTACAAACAGTGAAGCTGAAAAATAAATTAAAAGCTTCATAATAGCTATTTTTCTGAAACAAAAACTTTAGTACCTGTATGATACCATAATAGACACGATGTGGTGTAATGATCAGCCTTAGTAAATGTTCTGGTTAAAATTATGTCAAATAATTATGCATATCAAAGGTTGCAAAAGAATATTTAAACGAAGAAAAAACAAAAAATGCTATCTAAATCTAACGAACTGCTATTTACAATGGCAAGTACTAAAATTACCAAACTTGTTTAATTGCCATTGGAAACAGAGAGGAGTCAAGGGGAATTATTCGAAACACATCAAGCAATCAAACTTGTTTTGATATCTTTATATTATTACTAGTAATTCAGCCTATTCCAATAATTTTTGTTTCTTCGTCTCTTGAATATTAATTGAAAACCCGAGATGCGCATATTTTTTTTAAAATTTCATTTTGTGACAAGGATTATAACGTATTAAGGGTTGTTATTACGAAACACCATGTAATAAAAAAATATTATCTTAATCTAATTTCGGAGATTAGTTACCAGCCATGTATAAAAAAGTCTAAAGGCAAAATACAAAATTTGTAATTTTAGACTGGGAGAAAAAATAGTTTTTTACCCTCTGTTTTTTCATGTTTTTATTTATTTATTTTTGATCGAAAAGAGAGATTTTATTTATTTATTTCTTATTTATTTATTTATTTGCTTTGATTTTATTGATTTATTTTTGATTGAGATTTGAAAAGAGAGCCTAAATTTTCTAGGAGTACTTAATTTTCTCTTGCATAAAAGACAACACAACAGTTTAATTTTTAAAAATCTATTTTTTATTTTACGTATTTCAATCTAGGCGTATTGGTGTCAAATAATAGTACGCCATGGTATCCGCATTTGGAAACACAGTCCTTTAAGTTGAAATTTACATACACGAGAAGAATAAGACACATTTTGTTTAAACGTGCTTCAAAATTTTCTCAAAACTGCCTTTTTACATGCTCGTTGACACAATAATTCTTTTAATTTTCATCCATAAATTTTTGATCACATTTAGATTCAGATTGATTACATAAAAAAAAGCCAGACTTAAATTCCTTTGTACTTAAGTTTTCCGGAAATTAAACTTCTAAATTACCTTTAGAACGTCCTCATTTGTACATAACAATGAAATACATAAAAATGAAATTTAAAATTGTATTTATGAAATCTTAACAACGGTGTTCTTTCTTCAATTAAAAAAACAGAATCGCATATCAACATATAATTTTGAATTATATTGTTTTTGAAATATTTTTTTTTTTTTTTGTCTACTGCATAGTGATTTTTATTATTTTTAATCGGTAATTAAATTTCAGCACTCGTAGTTATTGTATTGTCATTTGTTTCTTATTATAAATTTCAAAAGCTGCCTTTATTCCATTTAGTGTATAATCATTACGATCAAGTAATGACGAGTGTTTTACTTCAGGGCAATAAACAAACGTAAAACCATCGTAATAATAATAAACAAATAAAATTAAATGAAAATATTAACAAATTTATACACGCAAGAATAATTTTTACTGTCGTTTCTATTTTAATATTATTAGATACACTGTTTCTTTTTAACAGAAAAAAAAATTTTATTTCAAAAAAGGGACAATTTTTTTTCTTAAAAAAAAAGGGACGATTTTAGATACCAGAAAGCAATTGGGGGTGAATGAATCATTTTAACAGAATGGGGCTCATAAGGGGACATTTACTCCCCACTGAGAATGTTTGCACCCTGTTGAGATATTTTTCATTACTTCGTCCTCAGTTAATTGAATTCAGATGACTAAACACTGTCAATTCAGGCATCTATGGGTCGAAAATAGGAAATAATTATAGTCCCTGTGACAAACTTTCTTCCAATCATGTGATAATGATCAAATTGTACAGCAGAGCTAAAAGATCTATCAAACTAAATTTAATTTTGTCATCAGAACGTATCTTTTATAGAGGTGAACTTCATTGGCCTGCCCGAGGGGTGTAGAGCGTGTTCTGCCTCCAAAGGAAAACTGATTAAAATTAATAGAGGAAGCAAAGTTATAAACTCCAAGTACAAATATTTTTGTAAGCAAATGAAAAAGTAAACTATTTACTGAAAATGATTAATACATTTTTATAATAATTTAGTCAAACGATTTAGTTTGGAAATGAAAATGATATACAATATCGAGTGAATAATAACTTTGACGAATGTGCATCATCGGGACCAAAAATTCCTTTCCTCTGGAATGCAATTTTTTCAGGAGGAATGAAATTAGTAATACAGAAAAACGGAGGGAGAAAGAAATTAAGTTATGCCTTGTTTTGCTTAGGAAACGGATTTATTTTTTCTCCCGAAGTTTCAAAATTAGTTACCAAGTGCATCAACAGATGGCGTTATTGATAGGGGGAATCTAAAACAGTGATTTCCGTCATATGCCAAAATATTCTTAAACATTTGCACTGAGCTTTCGTTAATTTCTCTTCAGATGGTGCCTTGTTGTTGATGCAAGCGGTCATTATTGGAAAAATATAGTTTGCAAGTTTATTTGCGCCATCTGTTAATGAACTTTATAAATATTTTTGAAACTTGAGGTTAATAAAGAATAAGTTTCCAGTGCAGAACGCACCGTTACATATTTATGTTCTACCGTTTTTCTTTCTTCTTCTTTTTTCCCTCTCAAAATGTTTGTTTATTTTTGAGACAGTGGTACCTATTTACTTTCCGTCATCTATATTTTTTTGTACTACATTTATAGTTTTTGATTAATTACTTACTTCGCTCGTTCATTGGATGCTTTAATGTTTTTATCTAGATTTGTATGTATACTGGTATTTTTTTTTCTTAAAAAAATAAGGTTTTAAAAATAAGCAACATATACTTTCTACAAAATCTATGAATTCTAAACCTTTCATTCAATTTCTTTATAATACGATTTTATTAATATATATGTTTTTCTATACACAGAGATAAAATACATTTGGAACAAATAATTTAAAAAAGTATAAATATCATACAATCATAGAAATTACAATCAATCAAATATAACAATTATAATCATACAAATATAACAATTATAATTAGACAAATATGACAATTATACAACTATAATTCATACGATAGATTATTTCAGTACTTGGCATTCAAAATTAAACAGTATAAAATCCTTTTTTACTACATGAACTCGTTAAATGTATTAAAAAATATGTACGAAGATATTTAAATAAAATTTTGAAAAAAGCACAGCAATCCGAGCTTAAATAATAGTAATGATTCTCCTGTATTAATAATGAAGTATTATTGAAACAAAAATACAGCTCCGTTTATTAAATTACTTTGTAAAAATTAATAAGCATAATTAGAACAAAATTATAGAAGTCTGTTAAAATAAACTGGTTTGCTTTAAACCTTTATTTCTGCCCCAAATTATTATTAAGTTTGTTTAAGCTTACGCGAAATATTTATACTTATGATTTATCACACTCCTGATATTTGTAGCTAACGCGAATAAGATATTATCAATTTTATTGTACGCATTGCTCAGTCGTATCTTATGAGATAAAATAGATACCTGCAGAAATTTTAAGAAGCTTTAAAAAAAAAAATTTCAAACTATAAGAGTAATAGATTTTCCTACTTTTTTTTAACTTTCTAAATAGTTTTCTAAAATGTATCGAATATATTTACTTCTTCAAATAAAAATATATAATTGTCAGGCAGTATTTCTTTTGGTAATTTTTTATATTAATTTCACAACAAGTTGCCCTAGTTACCAAAGCCTTAGTTCGTCATAATTTTTATTTTCCGAAATTAAAAATAGAAAACGTTTATTTCCCATAAAATGCTTGGTATGCGATCGTATTGACAGTAATACATGCTTCTGGTGTGTTACGCAGTTATCCTTTGATTAGAAAAATATTAATTTATGTATTTTTTCGGTTTATAAATATCGATTTAAGACTACTACATTGTTCTTTGGAATGTAGAAAGCCTGAGATAGCAAATTAAATGTTTTTTCGGTTTTTGTTTTCAGTAGTTCTCTTTTCGTATCAGTCACGTATCAAAAGCAAAATGCCGACGTCACTCACCATTCATAAGTGATTGACGGATGGCACGAGACTGGGCCCTGGAAACGCAGCCAATCGCAACACATCTCAAGATACTACAACTCTTCCCCTTTCTTCCGTTGCGGCGGCCTCGTTCAAAGCGTGCTCATCCTCCAAACAAGAAACATTTCTGCGTTCTCTACTCTCCGCCGCTTTCTTATGTTTACATTACGGAGTAGGTTTCGGTTACAGTTGAAAAAAGCACGTGTCTTCTACAACTCTCTCTAAAGACGCAAGCGATTTATTTTATTCCGACGTCTACGAAGTTTGTTGTGTTTTAAAGTTTTTCAAATATCGTCTGTCTTTCTAAGCAGATAAATGTCTGTTTTCGTTACTCTGCGGTAATGTTTAAATGGAAGATGTGCAAAATAGAGGGGGCTGATGCCTCCTTATGTTTCTAAACATGGAATTAAAAACTTTTATCATCATATCATTATTCATGGTAAGTTTTCCAAGTTTTGTTGCTCGTAATTTGTTGTTTTAAAATAAAATTGATTTTAAAAAGATCTTTTTCATTTAAAAAAAAAGAATTCATCGAAAGTTATTGTTTAAAAAGTTCTTTTGTTAATTACAATTCCGTCCAATAAGTTTTTTTTTTATTATTTATTTTTTGAATCACAATCCAAATATGATTTGCTACGGGAAAAACCATTGTTCTTTTTTATAAAAAATCCTTAATAATTTTTTAAAAGTCAATAAATAAAATGTTCTTTTAAAAGTTTTAATTAATTTTTCAGAGTTAAGAGCGTATAAAGATATTCAGACTTTTTTTCCAGACGATTCATTTTATTCCAACGGTTACGAAGTTTGTTGTGTCTTAAATTTTTTAAAATATCGTCTGTTTTTTCAAGCAAGGGAAAATTTGTATTCGAAATTATGCGGTAATGTTTGAATGAAAAAATTGCTAAAAAGAGGATTTTGTCTTCCTTTTTGCTTTAAACATGGAATTAAAAACTCTCATTATATAATTATTCATGGTAAGTTTTAAAAGCTTTGTTATTCTTAATCTGTTGTTCTAACTGGATAGCAACTTCAAAATTATCTTTTTAATTTGTGATAAAGAATTCCACACAAAAATACTTTCTGAAAAAATTGTTTCTCTTCATATTATGTTAAGTTTCTTAATATTATCTAGCCGTTGCAGAATTAAAGAAAATAAGAAATCGGGTTTCGAATGATTATTTGAATATGAGTTAAGCAGAAATTCGAATGTAATTAATAAAAAAAGAGTTGGAATTGAAAGAACTTTTTTCAACAAACTGTCATTGCTCCTTTAGAAAATTCCTAAATGATTTCTCAAAATCAACATTAAAAATGTTTTACTTAGGTATTATTTAGTTCAAAATAAGTGAAAAATATTGTACTTAACATTTTAATAATTTATGATTTTGAAATACAACATGAAACACTGGTCTGGTGTCTTTTTCTGTGTTAAAGTAATCCAAGCAATAATTTTTCAAATTTGCACCTATTTAGATCTAAGAGAAACAGTTATTCTTCAGTTCAATTTCCTTAATTTACATGATCAATTGATAAATTTTTATGAATAAAAAAAAAATGAAATATATGAATGAAAAAAAAAAAATTCATATTAGATATTTTGGATTTTATTTTAGTTCAAATATAATTCCGATAATCTAGCAAAATATTTTTTAGTAACTATTTGAATTTTTTTTATAGCTAAAAACTACCGAAATATATTTTTGCTTCGAATTGGAATGTGTGAAAAAATATACGAAAGGGGCACAGGTGTCCAAATCTGCGTCAAAGGGATAAGTCCGAATCTTCTGTGCTACTACTTGAAAGGTTTTAATAGTAAGAAGTTTTGTAAAGGATACTTTTAAAGCTCGCTTTCTTTTTTAATTTAATCAGGATTTTATGTGATCCTTTATTTACTAATAACCCCACGATTAAAAATCTTTCAAGGCTATTTAATAACCTCAATAATCTTTCGTAGATAGCAAGAAAAGGTTTTTATAGACCAATTTCATCATTATTAAAGTAATATTTCCAGGCTTTTTATCATATATAACTCAAATGACCTCATGGGAAGCTATTGAGGGATTTTAAAAAAATCTAAGATTCATAAATAATTTTAAAATGTTGAAATGTTACGTTTATAATGTTATATGTATATAATGCTACGTTTTTTACTTGCATATATTTTCTAGTGTGTCGAATTTTTATGAAATTATTCGCAATAAATAACTTCCATATTTGACTAATAAAATATGCATATTTCTTTTTTCCTAATCAGTTTAATATTAAATTTATGCATAAAATTGTAGGAATTCCTTCCTAAAATAAGTAATCTCATTTCATAAAATATCTGGGGAAATGTTAGATAAAATTTTACAGTCATAGTCTTGTTAAAAAAAAATATTGACATTTATTGTTGTCTTGATGAACCGGTATCTAATAAATATATAAATTACACGAACAACTTAAACTATAAAAAATTCTGGTTCAAAATAAGGCATAAAGTAACGACATTTTGGATGTATCATCTAGAAATCCGCTTTACAGTTAAATTCTTTTCTTTTATCGTAAAATATTATACAGTAATTTTATAGTACTATTCATTTACTTGGAGTGATTCAGTGATTTTATGGTAATTATCACTGTAAAAATTACGGTATCGCATTTTTTTTAGTTCGTAACTTGTCTCGATTACAATGAACGGCACGCTGAGTACTGATACTTTTTGCATTAATTTAATCTGGAAATTTACACTATGTTAATAACATAGTATATTAAATTATATCATGGATATAAGAAATAGTATACGATTGGTATACTATTTCTTATACAATCTTTGTAAAAATTGTAGAATTAAAAGTTTTATTATCCAAGCTTTTTATAGTTAATCATTGTGGCTACTCAAATATTGTGACACAATGAAAGTGACACATTTCTTCCTTTCATGGTAAAAGTTACTGTCATCATCAAAATTTCATGAAAATGGGATTTCGTACATCATTTGAATCTCTTATACCACTCGTATATTTATTCACCTTTTCATGGGCAACTTCGGCTGCTTTTTTTGTTTTGATATCTTTTAATAATTTCATCAAAGGTTCAAACAATTTTCTACTACGACGTTTTTGTTACTCATGCAAACTGATTGAACTTGATTGATAAGCATTGCATCTAAACATTAAATAAGAATGTTTTGACCACATTTATTTTTTAGGAAGGATTCGTGTATCCTAAGTATTCAATAAAAGTAAACATTTTGTAACACCATATATTTATTTTACGTACTAATAAGTATTAGAATTTATTAAAAAAGTATTGATGCCTAAAATTCTATTCTACATCTTTTAAGGAAAAATTTGTTTAAGATAACTAAACTTTGCTAGGAAAACTGCTCCAAACAATATTTTAAAAATTCCCAACCGATAAACTGAAACCTAAGTTTTACACTGAAAAAAAAAAGTGTTGTCAAAACTAGCAGAATATGGTAAAATTTATCAGCTCTAAGGGAACATAACATCAAAAAGCTCGGTAGTTTTTACCGAAGCGCTTTGGTAAGGATTTTGGTGAAATTAAAAATAAAATATGGTTTTATAACATGTGATTAAATTTGGTACGTGTGGTAAAATTTGGTATTTTGCTATGATACCTTAGAGTATGGCATAAAAACCATTTATTTGTTTAAATTTACTTTTCAGTTTTGTATTTTTTACTAAATGTGTAGTGATAAGAATTTTGATGACCAAGATTCATAGGTAAAAGTTAACCGTATCATATGATCGGAAAAATTTACAAAAAGATAATACCACATACTTTTGCTTTATTAACAAAAATGATTTTTATTTTCTTTTTTTACATCAGAAATGACCTTATCATGCAGTACTGTAATTTTTACCAGAATTTTTTACTTTGTACGAAATAGGACCAAAAAAATTTAACTTGAGTCTCTATTCAACTTAGTATTTGTCTTTAAAAGTTATTAAAATAATTGGCGTAGGTCAAATATAGGATAACAATAATTAAAATTCTAAATAGTTCGATTATAAAAAATTAATAAAAAATATTTTCAGAATAAGCTTTTTTTGTTTTGCACAAATACAAGAAAAAATTTATTTGCTGGTTTGTAATGCATAGTTATCAATTAATTAATTAAAATATTTTATTTACTTTAAAGCGTAGTCATGATTACTTCAACCTTCATTCGGCATAATGCAGTTATAAGGAAATAATTAGCATAATCGTGATATCTTATGTGACCCGGACTTAAGTACATGAGGAAAACACTAAAATCCTCTTTTAATCTGGAAAGGATGTTTAAATATATGATTAAATTAATATCTTCATTTATTTTAGGTCTATTTTTATTCTTGTTTAACATTTATAGGATAAGATGGGTGGTTACATAAATCATATCTACGTATTGTTTAAAAAGGCACCTTGATCAAAGTTAGCAAATTCATAATTATTTTTTTATAAAAATCAAAAATATTGCATGTAAAATCACGATTAAATTTTTTTTTCAAACTAAACATCCTAAAATTTTAATGACAGGAAGGCAATTAATTAGTTTGATATCCAATGAAGAGAAAATTTGTTTCAATCAGAATACAAGTAAAATATTTTAGTGACTTTTTTTATTTTCCTTGGATTGAATTGAATTGAATGTAGAATTTAATGGCACAAAGTTTTATTTTCCTTGGCGAAACAACTTCGAAAAACCATATTAATGTTAATATTACCTTATACGTATTTCGCCATATCTCGAGAATATTTTAAGCAAGTTGAAAACTTTTTGTACCCAATTATGAAATTCTTTTTTCCAAAGATAATTCCACTCAAAATATAAACGTTAGAAGATATTTTTTATTATTTTATTTAATAATATTCGAAGCACTTTTGTTCTGTAAGATATACAATTTTTACAACATTTCAAATAATGTAATCTTAAATGGCAAGATGCAAAATTTGACTGAAATCGATCGAGAAATTTAATTTTAAATATACGACCGATCATTAGATCAAAGGTTATTCAGGGTGGTCGGTTTGTTTATTAATTTTGCTCTTGGTTCATACGTATGCAGTTAATTGAATTCTTTTCAGTTCATTTCAGGTAACAATTCGAATTCAAAAAAAAAAGTTACAGTACTGTAACTTTTACTGTAGTTGCTCTTTGATACTCGAACTAAGTTTATTGATTGATTCTTCCCCAATACTATTTGCATGGATGCTAAGTGCTGTAATAAAAAAAAAACGAAGTTTCAGAAATTGTTTCTTTATATTTTTTTTTCGATATTACTATGCAATATTTAAACTACCCGACAAATATTAAATTTATAAGAAAAAAAGGATTTTTTTTAGTTCGTCTTATGGTTGTTTTAATGTGAACATTACATTTCTGATTTAATCTGAACCAATACATGAAAACATGTTTTAACAAAATAACAAAAATTAATGATGCTTGAATAA